GAGTCCTCTGGATTTTAATTCCTAGAATTACATCGGCAACTCCTAAGTCTTTCATATCAAACTTACTAGCAAGCATACGCTTAGTAGCTTGAATGTCGGCAATGTCTTTGCTCATTATTAGCATATCATCAACATATAAGCAAACAATGACTATATGATTTGGAACGTTCTTAATGTAAACACATTTATCACATTCATTAATCTTAAAGCCATTTGACAACATTGTTTGGTCAAATTTTGCATGCCATTGCTTGGGTGCTTGTTTTAGTCCATAAAGGGACTTAACAAGTCGACACACCTTCTTTTCTTTTCCCGGAACCACAAACCCTTCAGGTTGGTCCATGTAAATTTCTTCCTCTAAATCACCATTTAAGAAGGCTGTTTTTACATCCATTTGATGGATTTGAAGATCATACAACGCGGCTAATGCTATTAGCATCCGAATGGATGTAATTCTTGTTACCGGCGAGTATGTGTCAAAATATTCAAGACCTTCTAGCTGTCTAAATCCTTTGACAACAAGTCTTGCCTTGTATTTGTCAATAGTACCATCGTCTTTCATTTTCTTCTTGAAAATCCATTTAGAACCCAATGCTTTGTTACCTAGAGGAAGATCAACCAATTCCCATGTATGGTTGCTCAATATGGATTCTATTTCACTATTGACAGCTTCTTTCCAATATTGTGCTTCTGAGGAAGACATTGCTTCCTTGAAGGTACGAGGCTCATTTTCTAGCAGGAAAGTCAGAAAATCTGGACCGAATGAAGTAGATGTCCGTTGACGTTTACTTCTTCTCGGATTTTCCTCATTAGGCATACCATCTGTTATTTCCTCCCGAGGTCGTTTTGACTCTTGGTAGGTCACTTCACTTTCCTTTTTATACGGATAAATAGTTTCAAAGAATTCAGCATTATCTGATTCTATTATCGTATTAACGTGAATCTCAGGATTTTCTGATTTATGAACCAGAAAACGATATGCCTTGCTATTGGTTACATATCCAATAAATACACAATCAACCGTTTTTGGACCTATCTTAACCCTTTTAGGTTTAGGAACTTGTACCTTAGCTAAACACCCCCACACTTTGAAGTATTTCAAGCTGGGCTTCCTTCCTTTTCATTTTTCATAAGGAATGGACTGTGTTTTACTATGAGGTACACGGTTGATTATTCGGTTAGCTGTAAGTATAGCTTCCCCCCACAAGTTCTGTGGTAAACCTGAACTTATCAACAACGCGTTCATCATCTCTTTCAACGTTCGAATCTTTCTCTCCACAATTCCATTAGATTGTGGAGAGTAAGGGGCAGTTGTTTGGTGAATAATGCCATTTTCCAAACATACTTCTTCAAAAGGAGATTCATATTCGCCACCCCTATCACTTCTTATCATTTTGATCTTTTTGTTTAGTTGTGTTTCAACTTCACTCTTGTACTGCTTGAAAGCATCAATTGCCTCATCTTTACTATCAAGTAAATAAACATAGCAATATCTTGTGCTATCGTCAATAAAGTAATAAACTACTTTTTTCCACCGCGAGATGGTGTTGACTTCATGTCACAAATATCTGTGTGAATTAAGTCTAAAGGACTTGAATTCCTTTCAACGGACTTATAAGGATGCTTAGCATACTTTGATTCCACACATATTGACATTTGGAATCAATGCAATCAAATTTTGGAAATACGTCTAAATTTATCATTTTTCGCAATGTTTTGAAGTTGACGTGACCTAAGCGTGAATGCCATAAAGTGTTTGACTCAAGTAAGTAAGACGAAGCATTAGCTTTATTGATAGGAACTGCTATTACATTTAGCTTAAAAAGGCCCTCATTCAGGTAACCTTTCCTACATACATACCATTCTTACTTAGTACAACACTATTGGAAACAAAAATACATTTGAATCCATTCTTGACAAGAAGTGAGGTAGACACCAGATTCTTGCGAATTTCTTGAACATGGAGAACTTGGTTTAGAGTCACAATCTTTCCAGACGTCATCTTCAACGCAATCTTGCCAACTCCTTCAATTTTGGCTATAGACGAATTTCCCATGAAAATTGTCTCGTCGGGTCCTGCGGGGGCATAAGAAGAAAATAACTCCTTGTTAGCACAAACATGGCGGGTGGCTCCAGAATCAATCCACCATTCTTTAGGATTTCCTACCAAGTTGCATTCAGACAACATGGCACACAAGTCCTCCATGTCTTCAGCATTTTCAACCATGTTAGCTTGATTCTTTTTCTTCTTATCATTCTTTGGTGCACGACAATCCACGGCCTTATGCCTAGATTTTTCACAGTTGTGGCAATTACCCTTGAACTTTTTCTTGCTTGGGTAATTCTTTGGTCCAGAAGCCTTCTTCCTCTTCTTATTTTGTGGCGCCTCCTCAACAATGTTAGCCCTTATTATTGTCGAGTTTCCACGTGACTTCTTTTCAGCATTTTTGTTGTCTTCTTCTATCCTCAAACGCACAATCAAGTCTTCAAGTGTCATCTCCTTCCGCTTGTGTTTTAGATAGTTCTCAAAGTCTTTCCACAACGGAGGTAATTTCTCAATGAAAGCGGCGACTTGAAAGGCCTCATTAATGACCATACCTTCAGCCATAAATTCATAATTAATAACAAGATAAATCTTATTAATAAATTTATTGATTTGGGTCATACCTTCAGCAAGGAGGTCATGCACAATAACTTGTAATTCTTGGACTTGAGTTATGACCGACCTAGTGTCAATCATCTTGAAATCCAAAAACCTTGCAGCCACGAACTTCTTAAGTCTGGCATCCTCAGCCTTGTACTTTTTCTCAAGCGCATTCCATAACGCTTTTGAAGTTTCCATGACACTATAGACATTGTACAAGCTATCTTCCAGACAACTGAAAATGTAGTTTTCGCACAAGAAATCAGAATGTTTCCATGCTTCAGTTACAACAAATTGTTCGTCATCTGGAGTGTTTTCAGCCAGCACCGGAGGATCCTCCTTGATGAATCGCTGCAAACTCAACGTAGTAAGATAGAAGAGCATCTTCATTTGCCAACGTTTGAAGTCAATGCCGGAAAATTTTTCGGATTTTTCTGCTGGTGCCATAGCATGAGCAGGAGTTGAACGGCTTGACGAGGCAGCCACATTTGTAACAGTAGCACCCGTTCCCGCAATATTTTCATTAGTTTGGTTTTCATTCGTCATTTTTCTGTAAAGTTGGAAACAAAATAGAACTTGGTTAAATCAGTGAAGTTTTGATATCTTCAAACTGAATACCAAACCAAACATACAACACATAACAATGGTGAAGTTTTTATATACTTCAAACCCGTACGTTTATTATTCCGGTAAAGTTTTGATATACTTTAAACCGGACAGAACAATTATTGGAGTAGAAAGCACGAAAGCTTTAATCTCCAAACCAGTATATAAAATATAGATAACAGTTTAATATATATTTCAACACAGAAACGTTAGTATAAAATTCCTTAAGCTTGTTGTTGCTACTGTGTTAAAACACAAAATCAGAAAACTGTTAGAAGAATAAAAGAAACTGGAAAAACAGTAAAGATTAAGAAATATTCCGAGTCCACAATTTGCTTGTGCGTCCTTAAGGAATTTTAACCTCCTCACACGTTGCCAAGGTAATGGATTAAATCCTCCCAGGATAAAACGGCATAAACCTTCCTGCAACAGTGGCAATACAAACTGCAGGATACCAACGAACTTAAAGAACGGAGCAAAATCACACTTACGAATTTGAGAGAGAGAGACTGCGAATTAGAATGCAGTATTTTCAGAAAGAAGGAAGTTCTGTAATGTTTTTGGTGTGTTAAAAACGAAGCCATGCCTCAGAATCCATAGGCCCAAAGCCAAAGCCAAAGCCAAAGCCGAGCCGAGCGACGACGGCGCAAGGGTTCATTCTCTTTAACTCCTTTTAAGAGCTTTAAGAAGTGATTCTATATACAAGCACACAAATGTAGTTGTCCCTCACCAATGAGGGACAAAGTGCAAGTTAAAAGCTCACTTCATTCAAATTTTCATTTCCCTACATTTTATTTCCCACCATTTCCAATTCACACTTATATACTTTAAAGCCCAATGCTTAAAGTCTTTGAAGCTCAATGCCAAAGTCCAACACAAAGCGTCAAAAAAAATGTCATCTTAATTTGAAATGTAATAGGAATGTTGTTAAATGATATGAAGAAAGAAGAAATCTACTTCCCTGATAACCACAAGTTTACTTGAATGTAAAGATAGGTGAACGAGTGTTAGTTTCAAGACCAAGTCATGTTACATCCTACATTGCCCTCACGACCCTACCACCATATAAACGAAAATACTAACAGCTTGTTTGGATGGTTGTAACCCATTGTGTCGTATTGTATTGTTATCTTAAAACAATATTTATTTTGATTGTTCCATTAAAATTGGTTGTATTGTATTGTTAAATCCATTGTTCCGGAACAATGAAAAGTCCCCTTTTTCGAAACAACCGATTTGGTGTGGTGGGATTGTTTCCTATTTTTCTTTCCAATTATACCCTAACTTATTACTCCACAATTCTATTTTAACCTTTACCTTTTTTTCTATTTTAACTCCAAATCTCAAACCTATAACCTACTTTATTTTTTTTGCAAAACTTCTGCCGCCAACGTTAAAGGTGTTTTGTCGCCTTCTATTTTATTTTTTCTCCTAATTTGCTTTTAACTCTATTCTAATTAGCTGTGCTCCTTTCTTTTGCTTTCTTCTGTCTCGCTCCTTTGTTCTGCTTTCTTAAGTTGTTTTGCCTCCTGTTTTATTTTTAAAATTATTTTTATGCATAATTTTTGATAAATTTAATATTTAAATAATTAAGAATATTTTAGTAAACTAATCAATTACAGTGCAGTACGATACAGTCAAACCAAACAGTAAAATATTATTTAACAATAACAAACAATACAATCTATCCAAATATGTATTCATAAAACAATACAATACAAGACAATACATTATAAAACGACGGTAACAATGATCCAAACAGAGTGTAAGACTTGTTATTTGCCATGACGGTTAATCAGCACCCAGTAGTCTAGGTAGTGAATAACTGTTAACTAGTTCAGTTACTGGTCTTCCAACAAAGTTAACATCTCATTCAAATAAGTGTTCAACTTCTGAGTCTCAGTAGACTATCTGAAGAGCATACAACTGCAAAGAATAAAGCAACAGATACAGAATAGCCACTAAGGCATACGTGATCAAGAACAGGACATAAACTGATGCCATCTTACAACAGAATTCCCAGCTAACAATCTTTGTATGTTAAAGATTACTTCATCACAGCAACAATAATACATTCTTTACGAGGCACTGCCATCTGCACTATTTGATGGCGGCTCAGATGCAGGCTTTTTCATTGGACTAGACTCTGTAGTTGTGTTTAGCAGCACCCTCTTGACTCCTCTTCCCACTACACCTAGATGAGTCACTCCAGCTGCCTCATTTGTGTGGGCAGTGGAAACGGTTTGGGAGTCAAAACCTCCACTACCACTGGTAGCAGCACCCATCTGTGAAGAGCTCACAGCTATAGAAGAAGCAGCTTTTTCCGGACTTCTTGCTTTCCCAGAAACCAGTCCCATAATATCTGAGAGGATAGATGATGGATTTGACATGCACTGCTGCAAATCTTCAAGCTGCAAATGGAAGAGTCACAATTATAAAAGAAGAAATAACCAAGACATTAATCAAAACTCATTTGGTGATACTTGCCTTCTTCTCCAATTCTGCAGATAGACCTGTGAGCGTTTCAATCTCTGTTTCTTTAGCAGATACAGAGTCGGACTGTGATGCACTGGAGGATTGTCTCGCAATCTGATCTACATTAGTAGCTGATCTTTCTGTTGATTCTGACAAAAGCTTTATTTCATCGGTGAGCCTCTGTAGCCGCGACTTGCAAGTCGAAACAGCTTTTTGGCAGTATGGTATGGCTTCCTGAGGCTTAGAAGCAATTTCCAGACATAAACATATCCTAAAGTTGCTGTAATCCAGTTAAGAATACAAGGCGAGGAAGAGGAAGCAACACCAAAATTTGGCACTTAATAAAACCCAGATAAAGAAATTAATACTAAGATGTAGGTCAGACAACAATCCCCTTAAGGGTTGAAGGCAAGTTACATGTTACTAAGGATACAGCTCAGCAATATGGCGACTGTCAGGTTCAACCAAGCGTTCCAAAATGGATAATGCCTTCAGGTAATCACTAAGGGAAGTTTCAAGATCCTCTGCAAAAGAAAAAGACAGAATTTACAAATCTTGTAGCATGTGAAGTAGAGTAATAAACATCTTGTTACAACTAAACAGGCAACCAAAAGTACCAAATCATTTGCATTCGGTTTGCTCAGTTCAGTTTAGGTCATTTTTATTTTAACCACTTAATCCATTTCCAGTCAGCTAGGATTTTCCTAGGAACTCATGAAACAAACAGGGAATCACCATCTAGAGCGTGAATACGGCCTTACAACTAATAATGCTAGCAAGTTGCTAAATTATGTTTTAATAGGAGGAAGGGGGCTCCGTCAATCATGGTCATGACCCCTCTTCTTCTCTAAGCCTCAGCAAGGAGTTCCGCCATTGTGCCAAGCGACTAGTATTACTTCTCCACCCTTGTTCGCCCCCAATATTTGCCTCCAACCCTCCTCAATCTGCCCATCATTTCCTCATTCTTAGTCCCATAATCACAACACAGAAACACCTCTCAACACATCATGTTCAAAACATCTATACCTCGCTGGTGATAGAACTAGATATTTTATTAATCAAGATGATATTAATTGATTTTTATTTTATTTTTTTTGCTAAATCACCAAGCTATTTGCAGCACAGGATTGCACTTCAAAATAACCAAAATGCTAGAATAAAATCTAATGGAAGTTGAAATGTCCATCGAGCTATCAACCACCAATGGACACTTCAACTTCCCACACAGAAAATAGGAGTCTGACAACACCATTCTAATTAAGGTAATGGAAGTACAGTATAGAGGAGAAAACCTTTTTCGAAGGCTACCTCAGCGAAAGATTATAATACATCCAATTTTAATTTCATTTAGCGCTACGCCACACGTTTTAATGCTGTTAAAATCATTCTCATATCTAGTTATCACTGTTGTCTCCATTGATTTGAAAATTTTGAGTTAGATAAATTATTGCAGCATGGGATTGCAATTAAAAATAACCAAAATGCCAGAATCAAATATACTGACTTTTCCAGTTGAGATGACAACTTAATTATCAGTCCTGGTATCAGTATTCAGTAGATATTTCATTCAACAAGACAAATGGTGGTTGATAGCCCAATGGACAACTTCACAGGACAGATACTAAAAGGAGTCTCACAACACCATTCTAATAAAGGTAATGAAAGTATTGTTTAGGAGACAAACCTCTTTCCAAGGCTACCTCAGCCAAAGCTGATAATACATCCACTTTTTCCATTGTGTCACCAGAGTGCTTTTCAGCAATTGCCCTTGCAACATCTAACAGTTTCCAGGCCAAATCCAGGTCAGTTTCATCCTCATCGCCTTCAGCCACATCCTCAGCATCACTTTCTTCATCTTCATCTCCTTCCTTGTCTTTTTCCTCTGCAGCTGTCCCATAACAGAGTATCCACAACAAGAATTATCATATCTAAAAAGGATATCATTACACAATTTCCCAGGTTCTACTTTGGCAACCTAATTTTTTGCACTGCTAACATATATCTCAGAAGACCAGCAAACGCGATAGTAAATACCCATTTCTTAGAATTAGAACGTCAGAGACTAATAGTTTCCAGATAACTGATTTCTATTAGTGGGAGGACAGCACCAGCACATCTTTACAAGTCTAACAATACATCTTTCCAGAAACTACTCTACAAAGGAGGCAGCAGTAATCAGTAACAAACCAAAAATGACAAGCATAGAAGGGGAGTGGTATCTACTTAAGTCGCAATTAAGAAATTATATGATTCAACCGGGTAACAGAGTTGTGTCCTGTGTCTTTAAAGCAAAATGTGCAATAAGAAACAGGGCCATGGGCTTTTAAACCAAAACGTGAAGCAAAGAGCACGCCTCTTTGGAATGAAGCGCACATTTACAGAAAATTCAAATATTACCAAACATATATGTTTTTTTAAAAGGATATATGAACTTGGTACTTATAACACTGTATTGCAATTAAAGTTGCTTCTTTCAACGTCCGGTGTACAATTGACACTATTAATCCAACTCAAATTAAACAACTTTCAAATGTTATGTCAACAAGGATACAGAAACATAAGTTTACTCGCATAGTTGATTTCAGATTTCAATTAATCAATCATTTTGGAAGGGGAAAAAAGAACTAATATGCAACATCCAATTCTGTATTTAGTTATTTAAAAATTGAAATAAAACAGTAGAAGAGAAGCTCAAAATGAGAAGTCATAGAAGAATAGAACTCAAATACTGGAAGAAAGAAAAGCCATTGTTTGAGAAAGAGAAAAATCAAAAGAAACAATGAAACAGAAGCAGTAAAAGGAGAGGTTTTACAAACTCAGGAGCACTAGCACTCAAATAGCAAGGAGAGGTTCAAGAAATAGCATTAGTTCTCCCTCCCTCCCTCTTTCTTTAAGCTACATTCAAAATAAACTGCTCTTGCTGGATCACTTTGCTCCTCGCTTCTTTTTTCCAAATCACTTTGTTCCTCACAAACTCATTGCTTCACCCACGAGGCAATAAACCACCTTGCTTCACATCACTCTATTGCTTTAGGCGATGAATCAATGGATTTTAATGACACTTTTTGTGTTGATGCTAACTTTGTTAATTAATTAGCAAACTCTTCAATTCAATTATTATCTTTTCATAATAAACGATGTCGTTGATATAAAGCACGAGTAGCATTATAGAGAAGTCAGATGAGATTAATGCAAAAGAATCTAACCATCATCTTCCTCTTTCTCCTTTCCATTTGAGCTTCCACCTGGTTCATCAGTACTTGAGATAGAAGCAACAGAAGATTCACAACTAACAGCACTCTTAACAGAACCGTCTCTGTTAGAATCTTGTTGAGACTCGCTGTCCTTTTTAGGCACAGAAACCAAAGGATCAGCCTCATCCTGAGCTTTGTACAGCAAAGCACGCCCATATCTATAGTATGCATTGATACATTCAGGAGCAAGTTCACCAAAATGTGCAACCCTGAAATTTTTGCAAAATAAGTCAACGTGAAACGAGAAATCTATTAGAAAAGGTAGAACGGCATAGAAAAATAATATCTTTCTCCCAATTGATGTGATGCACATTCCTTTTTAGTCTCCCAAAAGGAATGATATCTTACTATATTTAGAAACAATTTAACTTTAAACAACACATTTTCCCGTTACTGGGATGATTTATAGCCACACAAATATCTATGACTTGTTGAGAGATATATATAGGGAGAGAGAAACTCTAAAACTAAGTGTATCATCTATGACTTGTTGAGAGATATATATAGGGAGAGAGAAACTCTAAAACTAAGTGTATCGTATGATGAAAAAACGTACAATGTCCTTGAAACAACTTGAAAAACTCTCTTGAAATATTTTCTTTATACACACACACACACACACCCACTCATGTAACAAAGAATGCAATAGAAGAGAACAAGAAAGAAAATGAAGGATCATACTATGAAAAGACTGATGGATACTACTTCCTTTATTCAATTAGTCAACTCAACAGCTTTGAAACATTTTAATTCCGCTTTGAGAAGGCTATTGAAGAAAGTATTTGAGAATAGCCCAGAGTCCCCCAGAGCATGTAATTCTCAATTATAAACAGTTGTACTTCATGTCAGCGGCTCAATCATCCCAAAAGGGGAAAATTTAAGCCGCACCAAGCCGAATTTTTTTTCACATTGCAATTTAATAAGATAAGTAAAGCACGTATATGAAGAAATATTTATCCAATAATCTCTTAAAGAGTCTGTACTGTGTATCAGTCCTATATTAACAATATATTCTGCTCGTCAAAATAACTTGAAAGATGAACTTATCTACTGCACCTGCAGTACAATAAACCCTAACCTTAGCTCTGGTGCCTTTGCTGCATCACTAACAAAAAACGATCAAACGATTTTCTTTTGTGATGTAAGTTTCGAACAAAATCTTAATTCGAAATAAGCTAATCTAACAGTCTATAACCAAAGAAAATAGGCAGGCAGCTAAATATACTTGATATACAAAAACCGGAGGAAATGAAATGTGTAAACCCTAACCGGATTTCTAGGGCACGACTATAGCATTCAACGGCCTCTCCATAATCTCCATCTTTATCGGCCTTAGCACCTTTCTCTGTTAGCTCATCGGCGTACTCCAGCGATTTTTCGCGGTCACCATCAGAAGTGACCGCAGAACTCTCAGCATTATTATTGTTGCAAGTCGATTCTGTACCTCCCTGAAACCCTGATTCGATGGTGGCATTCACCGAGTTCTGGTTCTGCTCCGCCGTAGGGCTTGTTGTTTCTGAATTTGCTACTTCCTCAGCCATAATTCACCTTCGATTAGAATTAGCAACTCCTAGCGGAAACTTTATAAACCCCCGTTTTCCCCTCTTTTTTGAACCCCCATAAACCCCGTATGGCGCAAAAATGTAAAATGGCTGGTTGGGAAGAACCGACGTCGTTTCACATCAATGGTACCTGAGGAAAAAGAACAACTCCCAATCGTGTGCTTTTTATGTTATGACTGTCATTTGATCAATTTTAAATTTTTACCACAATATGATAAAAGAATGGCTTAATCTAATGGTTACAGATATATGAAAATATTTCTTCGGGCCTAGTGCATACATTACACGGAGAAATTTAAAATTAGCTTGATTAATAATTGCTAATTGAGAATTAGTCATTATTTTAAAATTAATCAAAATTTAATTATTTTTTATGCGATAATAAAATCTAGACAAAAATGTCCTTAATTACAATCCGGAAAATTTTCCAGCACAATATATTGGAGTTCGAACTATTTACATACGGAATTCCAGTATAATATATTAGATACCCTATATGTGAACTCCAGCATAATATGTTGAAATTCGCATACAACGTATATTTGAAGTTTAAACTCCAGCACAATGTGCTAGAATTTCATAATTCATTATATTATGCTGAATTTTTTTCGCGTTTCAGCTAAGGTATTTTTGTCCTGTTTTTATCTCTGCATTAAATAGTGATTATTTTTCTGTTAATTTACAAAATACTTGCAGCATTTTTTAAATCGAAAAAGGGCTAATAATATCCCTATTATTTGGTAAATAATTTACTTCTACGTTGCGCTCATCTTTTGGTCCAAAATACAGGATCTTTAGGAGTAAAAATACCCTCGTGGCTAATGGAATTTTCCGTGGTCCCTTTTTTAATGTGATGGCAGTACGTAATTGGGCCGCGTGGCTCTTTTGTCCGGATCAAATTTAATCCGCTCCAGATATAAACTCGCCCAAGATTTAGATCTGCCCTAATTTTTTGGATTGAACCTGTTCTTTAACCTTCGAATTTGCTTTGGAAATTACCCAAATCCATCTCAAATCTATTCCAAACTCCCTCAAATTTCAGATTTAAGCTCCTATTAGTGTCTCCAGCAAAATCTAATAACACACATCCAAAATAAGTTACAATTTCAAAAGAACCCAATTTCGAACCAAGATTTCAAAGAGAGTTTTAATGGAATTACAGCTCCTTCTTCAAGGTTCTCATTCTCAAATTAGTTTGTATAGATATATTTAGGCTCATAACACATTAAGTAGCTGATTCCAACAACAAGTGATAAAATTTCAGATCAAAATAAATTTCACTCCAAATGGGTCTTGGAAAAGCTCTTCGTTGAAAGTCTCCTGGTTTGCTATTGATTTGGAGACTATTTGTGAATATCTATTATCTTGTTGAGTGAAAAACTTGGAGAAAAACTGTCCACTATTGAGGAACCCCTTTGAGCTTCGCTTGAAAAAACTTCCAAATCTGAAATTCTCAAAATTGATTAGGTGTTGCTGGAAATTAATTGCTAAACCTTGATAGAAAAAGTGATGGAAATGGAGGATAAAGGGATAGGATCTAGGATTAAGGTTGAAAAATTTAGTGGGTTAATCTAATAAACTGGGACAAGTTTAAATCTGGAGCAGGTTAGATTTGATATGGACAAGGGAGCCACGTGGCCTAATTACGTGCTGCCAACACATTAAAAAGGGGACTACAGCCTAATTACGTGCTGCCAACACATTAAAAAGGGGACTACAGAAATTTTCGTTATTTGGGGGTGGTACTTTTAGTCAGAAAGATAACGTCGAGTGCATTTTTGGACCAAAAGATGGACGGAGCGTAGAAGTAAATCATTTACTAAACGATAGGCGTGTTTTTGGCCCTTTTTTATTTTTTAATTACTAAATCGAAAATTGGCTAGCCCATGTTATTTCGACTAATGTATAGGGTAAAATATGTTTATACTAAATGATCGCATGAGGAAGTGACACGTGGAGCCGAAAACAGAAGAAGCTAAAACCAAAGGCAACGATCCCGTCTGTTACCGGAGAGAACGATACTCATAAAGATGGAATAAAAGACTGCCATCCGGTAACATTTAATGAGGAATATTCTACAATATCAAGTACTCTGCTCTTTACAAGAAATATGGCATTCAATGCCTGCCGTTAAACATTGTTCAATGGCCCTTATAATTGACATTAATCAGGGGATTGATCTAACCTTATTCCCTAGATGCAGCTATAAATAGTGGGCTATATTATCATTGTAAAGGACACAAATTTTCAGGCAAACATACGCTACACGGTATTCAAAGCTTAATGTAATTTTATCTTCTTCTTTTTTTGATATCATTGTTGTTGTGCCCAGAAGTCCTGCTACCGGAATTACTATTCCCGCTATTTTATCTCCATCTCAAGGCTAAGTATTATATTTTTATCTAATTTATTTATTATTTCAGGATCAAATTAATTTACTTGTCTATAAACCACGTGTAAATTCAAATATACCGTTTTACGAGAAAACAGTTTGGCGCCCATCGTGGAGCTTAGACAGTTGTGTAATTAAGTTGGCCCTTGCCTCTTTTACAAACGTGTTTGATTATTTGTTCTTAGCAAAAAATCATAGAAAGTGTCAGATAATGGTGTTAAAAACGCACACAACCTTGAGGCCCAAGGAAATCAGCCTCAACACGAGGATTCAATTAGTGCTACCCGCGGTGAGGGAAAGGAGGCCACACCGGTCCACGACAGGCGGTACCCGACATGTTCGAAAAATGACTCATGATGATGTTGAAGAGGAGCACGCTGTCGAGCGGTAAGTGGTCCTGTAGGAGCAACAAAAGGCCATTCTAGGCCATCTCACACGACAGGATAAGATTATGACCGAGCTGAAGCAGGCGTTATCGGGTGCTTCCAATAAAGCAAATGGACGAGGTCCTTCCTCCCGATGCTCCTGCAAATCAAACAACGCAAAGGGTCGACAACAACACCCCGAGGGGAGAGTTCGGCTTTGATAGTGCGGGGGGAGCGGATCCGATCACAACAACAAAAGTGATGCCTTCAAAAGCGAACTCATACAGTTTATAAGGGAAGTAAACGCTCGCATGGATCAAATTCCAGGCGCACCACCAGTGCTGAAGGGGTCGGACTCAAAGAAGTACACTCAATTGTCGTACAAACCAAGCGCGGCACCTGAATTGATCCCAAAACGGTTTAAATGCCTGACGTGCCGAAATATAATGGGACTTCAGATCCTTAAGAGCATATCACCACCTATACAAACGGCGGTGAAGGGAAACGATTTAGCTCCCACGAGATCGAGTCAGTTTTGCTGAAGAAATTCGGAGAGACCCTCATGAAGGGAGCCTTGACGTAGTATTTGCTTTTGCTCGAGCATTCCATAGACTCCTTCGAGATCCTGGCGGATTTTTTTTAAAGCCCATGTTGGTCTAGAAAGGTGCAGGCCCGAAAGGCCGATATATTCAGAATTGCACAAGGAGAGTCGGAGTTGCTGCAGGAATTTGTAACCCAGTTCCAGAAGGAAAGGATGTTGCTCTCGGTCGTTCCGGATGAACTGGCAGCTGAAACAGTCACCAAGGGTTTGAATCCTAGAAGTTTCGATGCTTCCCAGAAGTTGAAAGAAAGCTTGCTCGAGCTCCAAGCGACAGCTTGGGCGTTCAGAACCAGCACGAGTCAAAGATAAGGATTGAGGATGATCAGTTTGGTTTCCTGGCGTCGGTTAAAGGTCGCGAGAAGAATAAAGAGAAATCAAAAGACGATTTCGACACAGATAGACGGTCTTCGAGGAGCCGATTTCTGCCCTATGAACGGGCCGAAGGACGCGATAGAGGCTTCCGATTGGCAGGCAGGTTCATTACCGATAGAAGAAAGGATCGCGACCGAAACAACGGGTCATTACAGGACAAGAACACGTCAGGTTCTCGAGATCCTTCCTACCCCAGACTTTCAGAATACAACTTCAACGTCAGTGTAGCACAATTGGTATTTGCTATGAGGAACATTAAAGAAGCATGGTTCCCGAAGCCGATAAGATCCGATCCCATCCAGAGGGATCCTAATTTGTGGTGCGAATACCACGAGACTAACAGTCACTAAACTGGGGACTGTCGACATCTACGTAAAGAGGTTGCAACACTGCTGAAAAATGGCCATCTCAGGGAATTCTTAAGTAACCGGGCTAAAAACGATTACGGTCGCAATAATGACAACACGGAGCCCTCAAAAGCAGGAGAAGATCCCTCGAGCCTGACGATCAACATAATTTTTGGGGGGAACGAGGTTGACGGGGTTACCTTCTCGGCAGCAAAAAAGACAAAGGTATCAGTAACCCACAACAAGAGACTCCGGGAAGTCGCTGAAGACAACATCACTTTCACGGAGGAAGACGGATATGGATTGTTGCTACCGCACAACGACACATTGGTAATTTCTTTAAATGTATTAGATTTTAAAATCAAACGTGTACTGGTGGATCTAGGGAGTTCGGCCAATATTATACAATGGAGGGTATTGGAGCTAGCCAAACTAACCGGAAGCATTATTCCGGCGACAAAACTCCTCACCGGGTTCAACCTAGCAAGCGTGACAACCCGAGGAGAGATCCTGATGCCCACGAACGTCGGAGGGGTGATGAAGACGACCCTTTTCGAGGTGGTGGATGGAGATATGGGCTACAATATTATCCTGGGAAGACCATGGTTGCACGAGATGAAAGTTGTGCCATCGACATATCACCTGTTGCTGAAATTCCTAACTCCCGAGGGGACTAAACAAATAAGAGGTGACCAACCAGCGGCAAGGGAGATAAATGCAATTTCGGTCTTCGGTAGCAGAGCATGCGATACAGGAATTACAGGAATCGGTGCCTGCTCACGAGCAAAGCGAGGTCAACTAGAGGGAAGAGGCACCGGAATCTTATCAAGTGCCAAGGTATTTCTAGGTACCAGAAGAGATGGACACAACAAAATCCACAGCGAAAGAGCATGAGCAACTCGCATTATTCGAGAAATTCCTGGAAAGGAAATTCCACTTGGGGACAGGACTTCACCCCGAACTAAGGTCTGATTTATTGAATTTCTTAAATTTAACATCGATTGTTTTGCG